ATACAGGTGTGAGACACGTGAAGCCAGTTGGTCTTCTGTGGCCTGTTTTATTGTGACACGCCACACCTCACTCATATCTGTCGACAAACCTTCAAGTTCATATACAGCACTAATATTTTTACTCAAAATCAATTGTTTTAACTAAAGTCCTGTCTTCAGTTGTGTTGCTTTGACATTTGATTGTCTATTTAAATGTTGGTGGAGGCGAGCAGCGAGGGATCATAATAAATACATTAATACGCGACCCTTGTGCACTGGGATGGCAGGATATGATGCCATTAGGTGTGAATGGGTGAAGTCTCTGTACAAAACTCCCTTTTTTTCATTTTAAAGTTGCGCAAGAAAATGTCACCAATATACAGGATGTTGTGTTTTACAGTACACAAATGAACATTATACTGACGTTAATCGTGAATAAGGGATTGTGAACGGAGATAAAACTAGCATACGTATGAGGCAGTGGCACCACTTTTGCAAACGGGATAAATTCATAAAAATAATGGAAACTTTATAATATAAAGGTATTCACAACTGAAAGATACTGCATGTTACTGTTTCTGATTCGTGTAAAATGTAAGCAGAATTTTACTCCCTCAGCTGTTTCCTAATTAGATCTGTTGATAAAGATTCAGAAGACTGTTTGAGAATGACTTCAATTTTCCAATAGTCAACTTTCTGTTTATGTCGAGCAATAGTCCGGCAGCCCCAGCCTTTGGTGTCTACATTTCACAACGTTTGAGGTACAATGTTCTTTCTTCGAAGATTTCAAAGAGCGTCATACGATTCTTGCTTAATAGTTCAGGGTTACAAATTTCAAGATGGACCTATGGAGGACATTTTCAAAGTTGACACATTAGAGACAAAAAGGATGTCTGATGCCATTCACTATTTTGACTTATACCATATGTCCCCCTTGGAAACAATTGACTTGCCTTTGCAGTATTTGTGACAAAAGCCACCGATGGGGCAGGATTCGCTGACCTTTTCGCGAACAGCTGGTATCATCACTATTTAATAGTAATTAATGATAAACCTAGGCTTAAGATATAGTTGGAACCGTGCAATGAATTCTGCTTTATCACAGACCTCGTATGATTATGAAATGGGTTTTGTTGCTGTTATTTTGTTCATTGATGTTCATTGACTTGGGCATAAACCTGACTTAACAAGTCTTTGGAATTATTTCGCTTCATAACGATCCCTGTTGTATAGAACCCCCTTTGTTTCAATAGAAGACGTGTTATTGTGCTCCCAAACCAGTCATAATTGCTTCAGACATGAACAAACACTACCTAAATATATGACTTTAGGCATAAAATAGCAGCAGTGTATAAAACCTCTTTTGTGGCCAGTCCAATGATCTGTTGTGGCAGTCACGCCTATTTTTCTTACGTTTAATGACTTCATCTGTTGTATAAGCCCAGTGGCGTTTTTAAAGAGAGCTTTCATATTTTTCCTGATTTCTCCAATATTACACGAAGAACAAACGCTAAAAGGCACAGCAGAACATTTTATTTCATATATTGGCGGGGTCCCTTCCGTCTCGGCGTGTCGGGGTGCCTCCAGCAGGTTCGTGGCTAGGCACGGAGTGTTTCCCTCTACACTAGGTGGTCCATGGGTACGGCAACACATGTTGAGCTTGCATACAGCTCACATTGGCAGAGAAATTCTATTCCATCATTTCACTTCTCATGTATACTGAGTGAAGTCCTACCTCTTGCCGTTCACTGTATTTTGCTATGTAGATCAGCGCGGTTTGTTCTGGGCAAATTGACGAGCAAAACAGTCCCCCGTGAAGATAACGAGCGAACATGTTTGTTCACCATTTGAGAGGACGTGTGTAGATCTCTCTACGATCCCATGCATTTCTGACTAAGTGTGGAGCCGTGCTTGTACAACCATGAAAGCCTTTAAAAACACTATGTTGAAGACACGGGATCTACCACACCAGGGGAGACGAACGTAGTCTGGTTTATAGATGTTTCCATGCGAATTGATGCCTAAATGCAATACAACATTTAAAACTGAATGAATGGACATGAAATAGTTATTATATAATTTGCAAAATGTGTCAGATATGTTTAAAGGTTTAATTGAAGCATATTATGTTTGAAGCTATCAATTATCCTAATTTACAAAGTAAAACCATCTGAAAATCAAACCAAGCTCACACCGGCAAGACGTTCAGCATTTTTCAATTGTAATGAAGCAGTTATATCAAAATCTATGACAATGTATATTTAAAAAACACACAACATACTGTCGTATTTTACCAAAGATCAAGTAAGACACCACAGGCATTGTGACATTAATTAAGATAATATTTTACAATTAGCTCTAATGTGCACGAGATGAGGAATGGCGAACTCCTGACCTTCCACTCTCTGAGCATACGTTCTATCTACAAGACCACGCCTTCCTACGTTATTTAACCAACACCAAAGTAGGAAGTCAAATCATTATAAATTTAATCAAGATGATATGTACAATGGTCTGTGATAAACAATATGTCTTCGAAATTTAAAACGTCAACGCCAGAAAATAATAATTCTCGGGTAACTGCTGAAACGTATTCCAATGAGCGTAAACGGCTAAACAGTGATGACGTTGCCATTGATCGTTCCCGTGGTACCATGATATCAGTTGTAGTTGATCCAATCATAGTAAGAACATGTGCACAAAGTATATGTATATAAATCTCTCTGGTTGACTTTACAAACAGTGATACATAACATGCCCTGGTGAAGAATAATTAACTTCAATGTCAGTGAAATATCGTCTTTTTTAGTGTTCAATAAGGACAAGTTGCTGTGTATAAATCAATGCCAAATATATGAAATCTCGTTAGTTTATAGACAGCCTCTGCGTACCGTCTAACAACGAGAATAACTCCATAACAATAACCCTATACTTCAAAGATATCATTTGAGTAGAAAATAACTATACAGGAAATAGTTTATAGATTTATGTTAATCTACAATTTTCATACCACATAAGTTCCTACCCTTTTTCTTATTGCAGTTAATAGAAACATATATGCCGTTTTGAATATGTATAACGAAATAACAAAAAAATGAACACAACAAAGAACAGATTGCAGAAACAAAGATATGTTATCCTGAAAGAAATCATGTAGTTGCAGACAGGTTTATTTCATATAAATCGGCTAACCAAAAACACAAGCATGTATAAACAAACAATCTGACTGAATGCGCATCAAGATGTTCCTTTACGTATCAATATATCAACATGATACTGGAATAAACTAACATTCTCAATGATAACATTTTTTAGTTCTGCAACATTCGAATTCATATGTGGTGTCGCTAAAACATGTTTTCAGCCAATAATTTCATATACCACAATAGGATCCATGCGCTATTTACTCTCAAACCGAGAGTAACCTATGCATGAACATCGGTTATGAAAATCCTTATTTGTCACATTTAAGTCCAATCTGATATTTTAGTTAACAGTTTCGGGTATTAGGATGTTAAAAATATAAATACATTTAAACATCTAAAAGAGAATAAGTTACTGTAAAGTATACACATTTGGGAGAATCGTGTATGGTTAATAGTTTCTTATCATCACCACTGCCGTTTAGCTATTCTCACTGTTTGATACTGATTCATAAACACATGCTAATATAGTCGGAATTTTACAACAGAGTCCGCTTTTAGCATGATTTCTTAGGAATATGAAAGGGTTTTGTCGCTTTTATTTGCAATATCTGAATGGCGAAATACATCCTAAATCCAGACTGATCCAGGAAAATCATATCCAGCATTTTAGCAAGCATTTCAGTATCTTCATATTCATATTCACACATACAGAGACGTGAGTGAAATGCAGCCATCTAAGCTGTGAACTGCAATAATGTCACACTTCCTTTCATGTGCCTGATGCTATTTTACACAACCAATTATTTGAATAAAAGGACCAAACCCATTTCCATAGTCATAAGAAATATCTGCCAAAAGCAGAGTCCATTGTACGATTCTGACAATATCATAAGCATGTGTAGTAAAGGTGTGTTCTTGAGAAAGGATTTAAAAAGACATATCCTGATGACCATTGTATACCACATCATGGTTACATCAAAGCACAGCACAGCACAGCACAGCACAGCACAGCACATACAGTTCATTCTCAACACTAAAGCTCACTGTATATCTCTGTAACCTGTGACGTTCAATTGTCTGCCACATTTCGACTTAAACTTAATGTGCGTTGAGTTAGTTTATCATTGTTACTTGCACATGCAATGTAATTTCTATGTGATACAACTTGTACATCTTTAGTATTCTGTAATGTAAATGACACAGTATAAGTTACATATATTCTATAATTGCACCGTTACATATTCATAATTATCTGAGTGAACGTAAAGTCATTTGTAAGAGTTGTATCAATCGACAGATATAGATAATGAAACATTATGATAGTGAATTTAAACTAACAAGACTCAAACTCTTTTAAAAAACCGAACACATGTATGTTATTTACATATTGATGTTTATATTGTTGATATTGACCTGACAGTACTCGATTACAAACGAATGATTTCCGAGGAATTACATGCACCCAGAGCATACCATAAATTGTATACCCTGTACACATATGCTGCATTATCTGATTATTTCGATATTTTGAAATGAGTTATTTGCTCTCTCACATGTCTAAAGGTAAAATATCCGGGTTATAACCATAATTCTAAAACATGTTATTCGTTTCCACACCACAAAACCAAAATATGAACGAAAATAGATTTCAAACAAACTGAAAGCGACAAAAGTTATAGTGAACAAACATTATAACAGGTTTTCGTGAAACCCCTCTGTCGTACACTACATTTCCAAACGACTGTAACTGTTGATTGAAAAGACGAGAAAATTATTTTAAGTCTTTATAAGTACTTAAAAGTAAATGATAGAACCAAATTGTTCATTATTTTCCTTGATACCAGAGCTTCAGTTTTTGTTTCTTTCCTGTTTCAGGCATGAGACTGCCGTCCCAATCCTTTCAACAACCATCGTCATGTGACCGGAAGGCCTATTTCCCATACGGAACTGGAAGTATGGCACCAATGCATCCGACGTCGTATTATGAGAAATGCGCAATGTGAGAATCATCTGACATAATGGCGGGGACTTGCAATATGTACATAGATCTCGCATATTTATTTGAAATCTCAAGGATTCACGTCTAAGCCGTCCATGCCAACTACTCCACATGACGCCGCCGTCCAGCCGTGACGCCGACAACTACAACGACCACGCACTCAGGTACCAGTGCTATGCACACATTGTGTGCGCAGCCACATTATGACGTCATCGGTATTGTTCTCCATCTGATGTCACAGTGCCGTGTAAATAATGATATCTTCTCCATCGTGGACAATTTCATATTGACACTTCCAGAAGAAGATAAATTGGTAATCTCGATTACACAATAATATACACATTAATTAGGATTTCATGCGTCAACATGGGGAAAATGGACTATGCGATGATTTTACAAATACCATTTTTTTCATGAACGTTAATTTGATGATACTTATTATTTTTAAGCCAAAGTTTCACAGCGTGCCAAATCGTGTATAAACCTTTTTGCTCAGGTGGTGCTTTAGTTCCCTATTTTACTCTGAGCGCCAAATGAGAATCTTAGAAGTGTAGATATGTGAATATACAATGTCTATAAATGACTATATCTCTATGCTCCCTCAAGTGTTCTTCGTCTGATAATGATCCTTGATTTGTCAGCACTATACCAGTGCTCGTTGGTTTGAACAAAGTGCGTCACTTTGGGCTTTCATCCCACATCAAGCTGACCCGCCGTTGTATATCTGAAATAGTGTTCAATGCGGCGTAAATCCCAACTCACTCACACACTCAAATGTTTCACTGTCAATGAAAAGAATCAATGTTGTCATTTTCATCAGATGTCATTTTTATAAATACACCGTTATTGTTTGTCATTATTATCTTGAATTATATATATATATATATTTTCACATGATATGTACATTTTGAATTTTGTCACTGAAATTAAAATTATTTTATAATTTCCATTTCTTAGTGTGTCATAATTTGGTGTTCTTTACATAGAAATATCAATGATGATGAAGCAAAGTTATCGTTTTTATTGTATGTCGACACCCACTGATAATGAATAATAATGATATGTAATAATAATAATCCAAACAAAAGGTTAACACTTTACACGTCCATCAAAGCGTTAAAATGATACTTTAACATACTCTTACAATAGTATTATCCTTAAATTCGTGAACGGGTCCAACAATTTTCTTGACTAAACATTATTTCACAAAATATTTTCTTTATCTAATCACAAATTCGAAGCTTAATACGATTTGATTATGTACATTTGCTGAATAAAAACAACAGAATGATACAATATATATTCATTTCTATTGAAACCATATTTACATGCTTTTCTAACCACCATTTGCACTCATATGCATAGACTTTATTGTATTCCAATTGTCAGTGTATCATGGGGAAAGCCGTCATATCAATAAGCCCAGTTGTGAAATATTGCTCCAATGCTACATTTAAAACAGAAACATGGAAGAAACATTGTTGCTCGGGACCTATTCTGACCCAGAACCCCAACGGGGCGAATCACAGGCAAGAAGGACACCGTGTGATCTTGCAATGGGACACAAATTGACACAATTGAGAGATCGTATTTATGGTCGTTCCTAACAATATTACCATTGATTTCAGATATATATTTCAATTTGGTGACATGTTTAAAGGGAGACATATCATATAAATGCAGAGTCCATTTTACGATTCCGACTATATCATCAGCATGTGTTTATGAATCAGTATCAAATAGTGATGATACCAGGTAGTCGCGAAAAGGTGAACGAATCCTGCCCACCGGTGACACCCATCACAAACACACGCAAAGTCAAGTCAAGTATTCACTGAAAATAGAACACGGGCATACATGGAACAAGTCAAAATAGGGAATTGCATCGGACATCATTTTGGGAACTTAGCGTCAAAATTTAATATTAATCAATTCAGAATAAAGAGGTGTTTGGGAGATTGGATAAAAAAAATCCCGGACCGCTAAATGGAGAAACCGTAGTCTCCCCAAACTCACCCCACCCGCTACCCCTTTTAAAACGGGAACATACTAGTTAATGCATGGCCTGAGTACATGCGTTCCTCAAATATACGCTTCAGTATCATTCGGATTTTAATTTAGACTGTTGACGTGTGACATTTAGCCTAACATCTTTAAGCTATTTGTCATCAATCATTAATCAATACTTTGAAGTAATGTTGCCCAGCCATTGCCTGGTCAATACGGAAATCTCAAAGGAACTGCATCAGGTATTGAAATACAAATGCCATAGAGATCGAAGCTCTGTCAAATGTAAACAGTAACAAGAACTGATCAGAAACGGAACCAACAGAAAACCATCCAAGACTGATGCAGCGCTGATGGGAATCGTAAAAGCAATTAGTCCACATGACACTCGCAGAACATATGACGTGATCATTAGATACTGATGCTGCGTTCAGGCGCACACGTGTTACTGGTCTTGGTCAGCAACTATTCAAAACGTTTTTTCGCATTTGATATGCATAACCTAAAAAAAGTATTATTCTTTCATTGAGCCTGAGAATATTTGCAAAATCTCCACGATGGATTTTCCACATTTTGAAACAGTGATAAGAAGTCAATACACAATAACCTGATAATTATGTTCTGGGTATGTATATGACTTATAATATCGTGCTATAAATGTTCCACCGCGAAGTACTACATCAGGTATGACCACGAGTGCACACTCGTCTAATGTTATACATGAACGTCAGGTATGGGTACTTGAAATCAATCATTTTTTAACAGCTGGTCTGAAATGTGATGATACAAAATTACAAAATGTATACTAATACGCTTTTGTTAATGATATGGTTTTTTTTCATGATACACATAACTGATTTTCACAATATGCCAATTGTATATTTAAAAATATCTCACATTACTGATTATTAAACCTATCAAACGTTAGTAGTATAGTAAATATGCAACAGACAATGGTTTCAGTCAGTTAATGGGGGTGGGGTAGTTGCACATTCAGGGAGAGCGTGTTTGAAAGGGTGGGGGTGATCATGTTATTGTCCTACTTCTGTATATTGTAAAGTGTATTTCACACCTCCCCAAACCCCAAACACACTCCCTGGATGTTACAATCAGCCATTTAAACCAACCCTCACTGATGGCAATGATTACGACCAATATGTACCCTCCTTTAAACATTAACAATTATTCATCAGCGTTTGTATTCTATGACTAATGCTATTGTGAAAGAAATAGGTACTGACAAATTAATTCACTACTGAATGCAAGAACAACTATATACTATAGATCTTGTGTACTATATAGTTTATCTTAAAAGAGCTTGAAATCATTGATATCTAGATTGGCATTTCTAATATGGTTGGCGCATAAATTATTTTATAGTACGAAGGTTGGGCGGCTGTTTATCAGTAACTATTATCAACTATGATGTGGAAAATATTACATTAGGGTGGCAAAGTTCTAGATTTAATATTGGAAATTTGTTGTTCAAATTAAATTAAATAACACATACCAAGTAAATAATCGTATCCAGTAAACTGAAAAAAATCAAACAAAATTCATATCAATTTTCACTCAAAATAGTGATATTAAAAGTGATTTACATTTCACTGCTTTCTAGTAATCACACCCGGTTTGCTTTGACAATAATTAGATGATTACAATCTTAGCGATTTTGTTTTCCATTTTCTACATGAGGATCATTTTGCAAATCCCCATATAAAGAAATTTTAAAAAAAGATTTCAATGTACTCAAGCAACTTCTGCATTGCAAATATTTTATTGATATCTTTATATCTTCATCGCTTTGAAGTCCAGGGTAGTAAGAAAAGTATTGTATTCAAAACGTCAATGCCAGACAATAATCAGTCTGGATTATCTGCCGACTCCGTTGGACGTACAAGGCAAAATAGTGATGAAAATCTTATGAATGGATCACTGAAAATCAGTCATGACACCAGGTATTCGAGAAAATGGTGAGCATGAACATATGTGAATATTGTAAGTTGTTATAAATAACACAGGTTGATAAATGAAGAGAGTCTGTGTTATTTCATTGATTCGATGGTACCTGTGAACGCCAGTTATCTGACGTAGAACACGCCTTTTGATGATGTTCTATAGATCTTGTTTTAGACTTTTAAAAGGTTTTATTAGAACATCACTACAAAATAACTGTCGTGAAAAATATAATATATACTTGAAAATTGGATTTGACCAAAAAATTACAAACGTTATCAAAATGTTACTGGACAGGAAACATTCGCCGAAACACTGCATACTTCATACATCACCATCGAATAACCATTTCCCTTTTTGTTTCATTTTTAATCACCATCAGAAATCGTGTATACTTTCTTTGCCCGGCGGTGTCTGTGCTTGTGTCAGCTATTTGGTACCAACCATCACTTTTTGAAAGATGAAGCAACGTACATTGTGCCGGGAACCAGCGTCCGAAGCTACAAAAGAAAATCATGATGGCTCATTGGGACGAAAAGATCGCCAATTTCGAATGAGAAATGACATTTACAGTTACTTAGCCTGTATCCTACACCCAAAATAGGCTGTAACTCAAACACCAAGTTATAAAAAACCGATACGGTTGGCAATACACTGAGAAGTCTAACGTGTGATCAGTACTTTCCATTATAAAAGGTCGCCTTAGATCGGGGTTGTATCAATATTCTAATTCTGTGTCGATTTCTTTATTTGATGCCATTGTGGTTAATACAACAGTTTCCATTTAGTAACCACTTGCCTCGACTCATCAAGCTCATTGATATAGCCATCACACCGTGTAGAAGTATACAAGATCGACCTTCTGTAAATGTTTCAATATCAGTGAACACGTGCGGGCAACCAACACCCCGGTGTTTTCTTTTCTCTGCTGCAATTACTTCGAGACTAATTGACCTTTTCGCTGCCAGGATAGCGCTGGGTGATAAACTGCCATTGGATATTTTCACAACAGTAACGTCTCCGGCCGCGGTCTCTCATTACCTGCCTAATGGGACCTCATCAGCGCCGTCTGTGGGAGGCATAGTGACACATAAGAGTAGCCTCCCCTGGGAGCTTAAGACGTTGGGTGGATAGTCCCACCTGGCGTTTGACATCTTGACATGTAACCATATAGAGCCGTAAAGATTAAATCTGCGGTCCTTAAAGTGACAATGTGTAATTACGTTGTCTATAAACAGCAATCATAATAAATAAGTCTTAATTGCCTTTAGTGTACTTTTGTGATTAATGTTTATTGTCATTCAAAAAACAAAATTACACATTTGTATTTGGCATGCTTACCAAGCTTAAGAACAGATTATTGCATTAACATTCATTAAAAGAACAATTGCAGTATTGATGAAACATTACTGAAAGAGCTATGATACAAAGAATAGCTATAAAAACAGTATGATGATATATGGACCATATTATTGGTGCCAATTCCTGTGGAAAAAATGAACTACTCTGTACTAGAAATATAAGTAGAAAGTAAGAAATTGTATTTCGGCATCTGTTGCTGCCATTCCTTCCCCGGACGTTGTCGTTAAGGGTGTTCTATGCTATCAGTTACTGCTGGAATTAACGTCAGTCGACACGACGAAATTGACACAATAGTTGTTCCTGAAAAGAAAACATTGCCGTAGTTGCCACGTGCTTGGCACTGCATAGCTGGAGATCGAGGAGGGATACGACGTGTCCCCGGGGAAGTCCCCCCTGGGTGTCCACGCCCCTTCGTCACTCCCCACACAAACATCACTATTCTAGAGTCACCCAGACCTCTGACGAGCAGCGCAGTTGGACGCTGACAGACAAAGTGATGGAATAATAGCGCCGGAGTCTTGGACGGGGTGTTGGGTGTTTAGATGGGCTTCATATTGCAAGGCCGTGCCATCATGGGGCACGGAGCCTACGTTCAGGTCAAAATTCGGGTAATTGCAAATCG